CCCCCAAAGACGAGCCGCAGGTTCTGAAAGGCTCCCGATGTTTTCCCAGATAAACTCAGTGCAGCGAACCTTCGCCCACGGGACCGCGCTTTCGGCCTGAATGCATCCCAGGTCCCATACCTGCCTTTCTGCGCCTTTGCAAACATTTACTCAAACTTGAACTTGTTAGCTCTCAGGTTTCAGTGGGCCCCAGATCCTGTAAAAAGCTCACATTTTTATCTCTTGGAAGTTGCTTCCATCACCCTCTAGTCTTGCCTACAATTTCAGATCTGTTTGCAAACAAATTGTTAACGTAAAAACATTCAAACCTGTAAAGAATTTTTGTGAGTTTATTTGAGCCAAACTGTTGATAATTGCCGGGAAGCAGAACCTTAGGGATTGGATAGTGCTCCGGAGAATGGCGGTCTTTCATCTATTTTTATACATTTCAATCAAAGGAGGGGACATAGGTGGGCCAATGAAATCCACTGGAGATAAACTAGAGAGGTGGGAGAAAGCAAAAGGGGGTTGACCCCCGGGATTGGATAAGAAGTAAAATGATAGACACACACTTAGGTGGGTGCAGGAACAATTAACGTGATAACAATGAAGGAATTTTGTGGTCTCTGTGCTGGGGCCCATTAAGTTGTGTCCCAAGGGCTCCAGAAAAAGGGAAGTTAAAGTTACCCAGACATTTCAAGGATAGGTTGTTATAGATGCAAAAAGACAGGCTCAGCTAAGGTAAAGATTAACGTCAGTGAAGGTACCGCCCTAGGAGGTGACTACCCACCATAACTGCTTTTAGTTAAAGTTTAATTTCAGACCATCCTTTGTGGTGACTTTAGGTCTTTGAGTTTGCAAGCCCACCACGCAGGCCTCCCCTGAGCTTGTCGGGTCAGCGTGTGGTCCCTTTCGTCCACAAAGTCTTGGCCAAATATGGTGATGGAAGATGATTTGCCTTTGGGTGGTGGGCACGCAATGCAATATACAGAGCATGTATCATAGAAATGTACACTTGAAATATATATGGTCTTATTAACCAATGTCACCCCAATAAGTTTAATTTAAAAAAAGAAAAAGGAAACCCATCTTACATTTTCCCCAACTTCCTGTAGAGGAGCAGAGGTGACATTCCATTGATTGACATGGAGGGGCTGGGCGCCTCTGAGTCATTTTAATTGTGTGCTGAAGTTCCTCCTGCCCCTTCGTGGGGAGGAGGTGTTTGGAACCTCTCCAGCCCACTGAAACCTAAGAGGACACTTTGG